TTCTAGGTCTCGTGGTCCTGAAAATGGCTACCGGAATTGTGAGAGCTCCGACGAGGGATGGCGATTTTATAAGAGAAGATACCACAAAATGTTGAGGCCAATTAATTGTTACATATCTTGAATTTTATATTGTCTTGCCCGTAATCAGTTTTTCCATGTAAAAATTTATAATAATATTGTGCTTTTATGATTTTATCCATATATGAGACTACCCAAAACTTTGTTTATTCCCAAAATACATCCTACACTTTAATTTGTTGTTTTCAACCTTCAATATTAATACGAAAATTACTCAATGTTATTATTTATCGGTCCTATATGAAGACTCATTCACAACGTATAAGATGTTCAACCACATTAGGGAGAAATGAATAAAGAAGCATCACTGCACCACGATTGCCTCTCAACGAACCTACACACAAATTATCAACAATCTCGAAGGAGTTAAAGGGGGTTATGGATAGCTTAGAGGAGAATAAGAAAACTGATGATTCTGAAACGACTTCCCAAGTTAAGGTATACACAATTTCATCAGCTTGGTCATGATCTGATCTCAGAGATGCAATTCCCTAAAAACCCCAAGGAAAAGGGTCAAAGGAAGTGATTACCATGCAAGAGGAGTTGCGGTTTGGTTAATGATCAAGAAGAGACTCTCTTTTAGCCTATGGAGACTGACTCACTCCATATACCTCTTCTTCCAACTTCATTCATACTTGTGGACAGAACAATATGCCATGTTTTGGAGTCATCTAATATCACCGGTATCTTCTCATATATGAGGTCAATGTCATACATTGCACAAGAGCTCCCTACCCAACTAAGCAAATCCAAAAGTAATCCTTGTGTTAAGAGACAGACACCAAACATTCCCCAAAGTTGCAATAGGCCTTGAGAACTCAACTACTATCTCATTGGATACAGAATTCGACAATTTCACAGAACTCAACTACTATCTCATTAGTAATCTGCTTATGAAACCCAACAAGCGTTGAATTTCCCATTTTTTTCTAGGGAAAAACCCAGAGAAACAAATCAGTGGTTACCTGTTAAGAAACATGGCTTCTTCAAGTGCACATCTTAGGCTAGATTCTTGGTGACCAAACCTGCACAGGTCTCGTGGTTTTTGCCAGGACAATCGATTCGTTTTCCCCAGAACTGGAGTAGGTTCTTGTGGCCAGTCAAAGCCCGCAATATCTTCACTTCTCTTCTAACATCCTCAATTGCAATTTAATACTCCAGCAATCTACTATCTAAACGATGATGGTTCATAAAACTTGTGAGCAACTCACAGATCTTACCAGTAGGAAGAATGTTAATTCCTGATTTGCCTACCACACAGCTTAACTTGGCAACTCAAACACCAATCTAGCAAAATGTATCTGACAACACACTTGGGAATAAAATATTAACCAAATATCCAAAACAAATGCACACAAGTCACCGTTCCAGCTAAGCCTAAGAACTACACAATGGCAAATTGACAAGTGATGCATGAAGTTCCAGCTAAGCCTAAGCCTAAGGTTATCTCTCTCTACTTGCTATTGAGTCTGCTTAGAGAAGCCGAATTTATTGATGCCCCATTTGGCAAACATGAAATTCACCGTAGAGTTAAGACACAAAACCAAGTCCAGTAAAAAGCTTCAGCTGATAATCCAGCATTTGTCTCTCTCAAACAGAACTTCGTCTGGCTTTTGAAATCGAACAGCTATATTAACATTCTCATTTTTCTATCCCTTATGATGATAAGAACTTCCTTTTCTACTAAACTCGTTTAACTCCAAGTATTCCTCACATACCTTTTATTTTTCCTTCACATACCTTCATCAGATAAGCACAACCCGACCTTGGAAAATAAAATCGTTGATGAACTATGTCTGACCTGATAATGAGAAATTAAGAATAAGTGGCAGATTATAGTTACCTGCAGACAAAAACTAAAACCATACTCAAATCCACAAAATGAACTCACTAGAGAGAGTCGTTGTTCACAGCATCCCTTTGTCGCTGACCACTCTCAGATTTCCTCCAGAAAAGGTTTCAGCTGGAAAAGTAACTTTAAGTACAGTAATGTCATATAAAGGAAACCATGGCCATTTTGTAATCTCAGCACTAAGCTTGCAAAATTGACAACAAATAACACTACCAAAGCTAATTTTCTATGGTTCCCTTATCTAATATTGTGAGCCTAGCATTTCTGTACTAACATGGGAAGAAAAAAGCAGATGGTGTCACCTCATTTGCAGCAGCCTTGAAGAGAACATATATAACAGATGCCTCAGCTCCCTCCGAGAGAGCTGTTTTGCTTCCACCTGTCCCACGAAATGCTGCATAAACCAGGCACTGGAACTAACATGTAAGTATCAATGAACTAGGCGTAACTGCATAATTCATTCTACCTGCATAGATTACACACATTTCTATGCAACATATGCATATACATAGTCAATAAAACCTCTATACATGCTTTGTGTAATCTGTGCAAGAAGATATGCATATTACAAACAAAGAAACACAGTACTTGTAAAGCACCAGTTTTGAGCACTGCAAGGATATAAGTTAGTCTTCTCTCATTATAGAGATTACAAATTTGAAATTTCTCAGAGACTGACTAATGGTAAACAAGAGATGGATACTTTGTTAAAGTAAGAATCGAGATGTCTTCTTATTACAAAGGAGAAGGAAAAACGAATCGAGATGTCTTCTTATTACAAAGGAGAAGGAAAAACCCAGAAGAAATTCACTGGAACAATTAGAAAGGGAACACTTTAAAATGGAGATTTGGGTATGTTTCTTCTTCTGTACAACACCATTCTTAGATCTTAAAAGACTCAAATCTTTATAGAGACAAAGAGACTAACTCATCACTCTAAAGCGAAGTTAAGATCTTTTCAACTTCTTCTTTGGTTCCGAGTACTCTTTTCACCATAGTGCTCGACTTGACTCCTTCAACATCATTTTGATTTCCGACGGCGTCGA